GTCGAAGTAATATATAGGCGAAGTAACGTAATGTCTGAGTAAAATCATGTCGATGTAACATGTGGTCGGAGTAGCGTGTGTCGAAGTTCAGTTAGTGAGACATAGATGATGTTACTCTCAATAAAAAAACTGACGAAAAAGTAAAATTTTTGAGTAACTAACATCTTACGAAATAAAAAAAAAGAAATTAATCCTTAGTAACTCACGGTTTTTTTAACATTTTTGTGTTTTTACAAAAAAAATATTTTTGAATTTAGGTATTTACTTTATTATAGAGGCTGAGTTTTGTAACTTGTTTTAATTTTACATTTTTCTTTACAGAACAAAACAAAGATTGCCCTAGGAAAAGCACCCTGGAGAAGGCTAATATACCAAAATGGTAGAAGTAAGCAAGCACCTCTTCGACCAAACTTGCAGAGACATCGACTGCCATATCTTGCTCCATTATTATGATTCGAATTGCTGGACAGCGTTTCCTGAAACTTTTAGGAGGACTTGCATTGGTAGTGCTAGGTTTTATGCTATCGTTTATTTGGTAAGTTTGACCATATTGCACATCCGGACACGTAATTCTAGCCACCACGCATTTTCAGTAATAGGTGCCCTAAGCTTAAAACAATGTTTGATTGATCAAAAACTAGTATACTAAACGTATTTTCCATAAGTCTTTGTTGGGAATTTCGATTTGCAAAACTGGGGGAAAACTTTTTCTTCAGAGATAACACTATTTTTGTATTGTACCCTTTACGATAAAAATGCAAAGTAGCTCGAATTATGTATACGGGGGTATATATCAGACTCATTATAATAAACAATTTGGTTTAATAATCAAACCACTTAGACATAATGGCAAAACTCTGTATTATTATATTGAATATCGAGATCTTAGGATTTCGTTTTAGTTGCACATAGAAATCGCGTATATTTTTTTTTTTTCAAACATAACAACGTTTCGGGCCTTTTACAGGTCCCATGATCACGTCTGAATAAAAGCCTTTGCACACGGCGTATTTAACACGCGCCGTAAATGCGCGTAATCTGCACGTCTGAGCGCTGTAGTGAATCGATTCAAACATCGCGTTGCAAGCAAGAACTTCTGTAGTTTAATCTTTCAAATATAATTTCATATATAGGTACCTATCATAAAAGCGTTTTTTAGTTCTGAATCAAAATTCTATTGTCTTAAATTTTCATGAAAGTTCTGTACACAATACTATAATGAGTTTCAAAAAAAGAACGTCGTATATTTGTAATTAAAATATCAATAAGGACGCTACTCAAACGTCATACTGCCTCCTATTTATTTTGTTCCACGTATTAATTAATAAAAAAATTATATTCTTTTCATAAAGTACATTTTCGTAAATGTACTCAAATGCTATTATTGTAAGAAGATTATTTTTTTAAATTTCTCTCTCAAAGACTCTGGTGCCCAGACTGTACATTACCCTGTATGATTTTTTATCTTTTTTTACCTATATTAAGCATTATAATAGTAACCTTAGTTAATGCCACTTAATAGTAGGTACATTATACAAAAGGGGTAAGTAGGCAATCACAAAAAGGGACAGATTCAAACCGAGCTGAAAGTGAGGGCTTTAATGGCCTGAACGTTTGTAATTGCTGCGGCCTACAAGTTTTTAATCACAATTACAACGAAGTTTTTCAAAAAAAGAAAAATTTGACGTTGTAGTTTATTACAGTTTATTCGTATCATATTTACCATATTTTAAGCATCACATTTCAATTTTTTTAGCATTAAAATATTACGTATAAATGAAACAAATAAATCTTTTAAAATTGATTTACTTTCAAAAAATTAAAATTAAAATATTTCACCGCCTTTGAGAGTCGCGGCGCGGATTTGGCGCATGGCGGGGGCGCATGGCGGGGGCGCAAGCCGGAAGTTTTCCCGTACTCAGGGCGGAAGGCGGGAGCGTGGAAATTATAAAAAAAATCAATAGAGCTTTATGATAAAAATACCGCCTATGTTTATATAATACATTGCACTTGTAGAAGTTCTAAGAAGTAAGAAGTAAGAAGAAGAAGTACTAAGTAGTTAGTGCTACTCGCACAAGTACGAGTGGCAGCTGATAAGTTCGCGGTCTAAGGTCGTTAAAAAAGAATAGTCAAAATTCGTATTTTTTATTTATCAATATAATCTCCCTCAAGTGACATGCCCTTCTCACATCAGGCGTGTAATACTTTAAAACCACCAAAAAAATATTTCTTGTTTTTGTCTTCAAAATGACGATTTACGGCGGCTATAATTTCATTGTCATCTGAAAATCTCTGATCCCGTATGTCCTTTTTTAAATTGGAAAAAAGGAAAAAGTCGCTAGAACGAGAAGCGGTAGGTCTGGACTGCAGGGAGGATGACTTATTTCTGAGAACCTAGTGTCTCTATAAGAGTAGTGTCTCCATAGGCCTGCCTTGAAACGCGCGCCGTATGAACGGGCGCGTTGTCCTGCAAATAGAGTACTCCACGCCCTAACTTCCCGCGTCTCTTCTGGACAATAGCATCACGAGCCTGAGCCAATAAATTTTCATAATACTGGCCATTCACCGTAGTTCCCTTAAGCAGGTAATCGATTAGCAAAATGCCTTCGCTATCCCAGAAGACAGGCGCCATAAACTTCGATGCCGACTTTTCGACCTTGAATTTCTTAGGCGCCCTTTCTCCTTATTTAAACCATTGCATAGATTCTTGCTTGGACTCCTGGTCATATTGACGAATCCATGTTTTATCAACGGTCACGATACGATCATAAACGGCGTCGAGATTTTCGCCGACTAACTCCAAAAACTCCGTGCAACTCTAGAGTCGTCGTTCCTTGTCGAATGGCGTGAGCATTTTTGGTACCCAACGCGCACAAATTTATTTCATATTCAAATGTTGATGTAAAATTCGCCAATACTTTCTTTGCTGATTTGCACCTCTTCCGCTTTCTGCCACAATTTAACTCTTCCATCAGCCAGTACAATTTTCTCGACTTTTTTAATATTTTCTTCTGTCACTACCGTTATTGGACGTCCCGGGCGGGGGTCATCTTCGCAGCTTTCTCGTCCTTGCCGAAATAAACGAACCCATTTTTTAACCATCGTGTAAGAAGGCCCAGAATCCTGAAAAACCAATGACATGTCTTCAAGAATGTCTTTCGACGTTTTTTCCTTTTTAACAAGGTACTTTGTAATGGCGCGGTGTTCCAAATTGCGAGAATTTGCAGATTCGGCTGACATGACGTTGTTTGATCCACCACGAAATATTTAATTATAAAAAATTTAAAAAATTAAAAGTGGGTAACTTTAACTACCATTGAATCGCACAATAAATAGTATCACTAATAAGACGGTAAGTTACGTTTAAGTACCTTAGGCCGCGAACTTATCAGCCGCCCCTCATACAAGTTCTTAGACTTTTCGCAATTGCCTGGTATTAGAAATGAAACTATTTATCGCGTATATATCGATACCTCAAATGAACGCTACACCTTAAGTTTTGGTCATTTTCTGTTTTTATTTTCTTTTTTGTTTCGTTTTTTCATAAATTTTTTTTTTCTTTCGATGTGTTTTTTCAAAGAGACTAGCGTTTCGGGTTCTTTGTAGGTCCCATGGTCATTCGACTGACATTATTTAAAATACAACTAGAAGATTTTTCAGAAAAGTTTATAAAGATTCGTAACTAAATCTGTAAGTAAAATTTTTATTATTTCAGGTCCAAATATTAATGCGCGGGCGGAAGATGCGAAAAAAAGAAGAATGGTACAAAATATTCGAGTATTACTTGAGGTCCACGGCTATGGGGATTTGCATTGGTACCACAACGTCAGTTTTCGGCTGCATAGCTAGGTAATGTAATGGTAATCTATATGTATATGCTTGTATAAAAATAAGATTAATTTATTGTTCCTAAAAAGTTTTACATAGAAAGTAAAATTTCTGTAAAAGTTAGATAACAACTAAGTATAACATGTTACTTGAGAAAAGGTCGGTGCTTATAGAGCCTCTGATTAAAGTATAACTCTCTAAGCTTTAGGCTAAACTCACACTGGCGCAGAGTCGAAGCGTCGCGTCGCGGACTGCCACGCAGAGGTCCCAGGTTCGATTCCCGGGCCGGGAGAAATATTTGTATGGCCTACAATTATTTCTCTCGTGTGTTTGGGTGTAATTTGTGGTCTGACACCTCACGGCGCCCAAGTGACACGCGGCGACGCGAGTCGCCGCTTGATTCTATATTTGCAAAACACAAATTTGTACCTTAATAATTGGAAAATATAGGTGAATATGCTATAGGCGAAAAACATGACCCGTCGCGACGCGTCGACTCTGCGCCAGTGTGAGTTGAGCCTTAGTCTTAGGTTTACAATATCGATTTATTTAATTCTGTATGTTGCTGACGAAATGGTTTGACTATATTGGAATCATTTATTTCATATGATGATTAACACAATATTGTAATTTAAATGAATGATGGAATTATTGGAATACTCACTGGGAAATTCATTATGGAGGCGCGGTGGTTATGTTAAACTCCTACTCACTGAAAACCTCCGGATATTCCCACACCCTGCATCGAACGAGGCTATGGCCACGAGGCTTAAGATCCACGTATAAGATTTTCCAAGTAGACATAGAAATGAGACTCCAATGACTGTTATAAATTATATTATAAGATCTTTCACTATAAATCCAAACAAGACAAAACCACATCTGTTCTAGTTAAAGACGCTTTTCGTAATGGCGGCCGCCCGTTAGCGTTTCGTCGATTCGATGATGACAATATCGGTTTATTTATTATTTGGATAAAACTAATTTTTATTGAAGCAAAGTATATTTTCTAACAAAATGAAATAACTTAATGCCACGATTCGCTAACACACGGCCCCGCCTGCAGTTGTCCAGGACCGCAGACCTACCTCTGGAGGACCTGCACCATCCGGACCATACTGAGAAGAATATCCAGCGAGTTCAGAACTCTTGTGTCCGATTTTGCTATCCAGTCCCTCCACGCTCTCATATTACCCCTTTCGTTTATTCTTTTGGCCTTTTAAATATGTCGAATAGGCGTAGATTGAATAAGAAGTAAAAAGAAGAAGGAAAATTAGCATTACAATACACAGGTACTAAAGTAAATTGTTTTCATCTGACTAACGTTTATATTCCAGACGGATGATGGGAAATAAATTTCATTATCACACTTACCTGTGGATACCGAATATGATCAACGGTTTGTTCATATTCATGGAACCCGCCAAAAGAAGAGGCCTAGTCATCAACTTATTTGTTAACTTGGTAAGTTTTTATTTATATGCTTAAGTAAATAAAACGGATAAAGGGATAATCATTACTAATTCTATTTATCGTATCAACTAAATATAAATAAATAAATACTATACCACATCACGTACGTTCCTCTGCTCCCAAAGTAAATAGCTAAAGCACTTGTGTTATGAAAATAAGTAATAATGACGATACCACAAACACTCAGACCTGGTCTTTCTACATTGACCCGGCAAGAGATCGAACCCAAGACCTCAGAGATAACGACACCATGAAAACCGGTGTGCAAGCTACTCGACTCGTTGTCTATCAATAACGTAGACTATATTGCCATGATGGTGAAAGCATTTTCTGCAAAGGAACTAGCTTGTTGTTGCCCAAAGTGCACAAGACGTACTGGTATCACGGATAATACGTCGTTGTGGGTAGGTTCCTTTTGAGCACACCTAACTATTACTAAAAATTATTGATATAAAATATTTGTACCAAAAATTGCTGGGAAGATGAAACATTAAAGAGTAGACAGTAGTTGCAAGCTCAGGCAACTTATTACAACTCGCACTAGACCAAGACCATTATGTAGTATTAGTGACCTTTATTAGTTGAAAAGGCACTAAAAGAAGAAGATTGTACCAATGATATCACTGACGATACAAAATGCAAAATTTGTCTGGCAAGAAAATGTTCATTGACAAAAAAATAAAAACTACATAATGCGTTCTCAATAATGAAGTGACCTAATTAAAAATATCATATTGAATTCTAAGGCTGGTTTCACAGCTATGCATACGGTCCGTACGGACTGTCCGCCTGCGGGCCATACGGGTCCGCAGATAAATCCGCACTGCTCTGAAACCAGCTTTATGTTTTCGCAATTGTTACACAAAGGAAATAAAATATCTAAATCAAGTATACTTATTTTTTCAACCAACCAACCTTTCGGAGCCATGGTCACGGCTGACTCTGCCTTCTGAGTCAAATTTGATCAAGGAACCTGTAAAGGGCCCAAAATGTTGGTTTTGGGCCCTTTACAGGTTGTTTGGTTTGAAATAATAAATATAAATTTAGATCCCAAAAAATAGTTTAATTTCCTTAGTGTTCATTGTATGGTTTTCCAACCTAAGGTTTTAAAATGAACATATAACGTCACTGTACATTGAACAGGTCTGAACATGACGGGAATTTCTCCGTTCCAGCTAATTGAGTACTGGCTAAGAACATTACAAAGAGACAACTACATCACAATGACAAGATCAAAGCAAACACTTTTGTTCATGATTGGTAGTGCTTTTCTTTTCTACCTCATGAGGCTAGAAGGCGACAAAGAACAGAGGACACCTTTATTCTGGTAAATATGTAATTTTATCTGCTCGGTTTTATTACTTGGATGGGGCTTAGGACGGCGCCCTGAGAGACGCCCATTAGATGCATGTTGTTAATACAAAATTGGGTTCAGAACCGACCCCTGTAAGAGCACATTAAACTTTATTTTATTAAACCACATTGTAACGATTATGACCAAGTAGAACGCAGGTCATAAAATAAATATTTAACGTGAATCATCTTTTACTTCCTGTTAACTCAGTCAACAATATAGATTTAAACTGATAACAAGTACAGTTACGTAAGCAGACATATTGATATGGTTATTTTTAACTTTATGACTTTTTTATTTTTGTGACGTGATTTTTTTTGAAACATAATTTATCTTATGTTTTATATTTATTGTTCAGATAAAGTGCCTACAGATTGGCTCGATTTTAGACGATCATTCTTGCCCTTCGGGATGTTGAGCTTTTTGGTGAACAATAAGATCTGTCAGATAAAAGATCTGTTCTATTTTATCGATCATTGTTGTCGCTTGTTAGCGACCGATAAATATAGGTTAAAATCGAACAAATTTTTAGGCACTTACACCTAATTTAAAATCCACAGCGTCGATCGACAAAAAACGCAATTCTTCTTAAATATGATACTACCAAGTGATAAGATGACCAAGTCGTGCGTCTGGTGGCTAGCGATATTCCTGTCCATATAACTTCAAATTGCACAGAACTGAGGGGTACTGCCACTGCGCCTGTCTTCCTGGGGCATATGTTGACAAGTCCAATGTGCCTGTAATTTGTAGCATCACCAGCATCCTTACTCTTCAAAAGCGTAACGCAGCAATGTTTACTGTAATGTGAACAATTGGTGGCAGAAATAGGTTTGGTGACCTTTTTGTCGTAGCGATGGCATACAATATTGCCATTGTCGTGAAAGGATAATACAATATCGATTGTCTGTATATTTACTCGATTTTGTTTGATCACACGTGTCGATGGTCATCGATTAAACCACTTTCAAAAAGTTGCAAGAAAAACCAAATTCAGTGAAACATTGAAGATGCAATTTGTATTATACGATTAGTGCAAACGTAGTTTTTAAAACCTGTGAAATTATCTCACATGCACACCCCACCCTAACTTTTATGGAAGAACTTTATGGACTGACTCAAACTGACTTTAACAGAGTGGGTCACTGCCTTGCACTTAACTCTCTGAGCTTTAAAGCTAGTAAAACCGAGTTCATAATCTTGTCTATTAAAAATCGTTCTATCATCATTAATCATGAAATTTAGGCTCATTAATGTTTAATTTTCGCTGGTAATAATTTATTCTTGCCCGCCATTGGAGATAAAAATAAAGAAA